TCTGTCGACCATTTTCGAACTTTATCCAGACATCTAAAAGAAACTAATGCCGTATATCATACATATCAATTAAAAGAAGAGAAGGCTTATAGGGTTGTTCTTAGAAATGTACACTTTTCGACAAGCACAGATGCAATTAAATTAGAACTATTAAAACAGGGTCATGTCGTACGTAATATCCTAAATATTAGACACAGAATAACAAAAGAACCTCTTAATATGTTTTTTGTTGATCTGGAACCAAATAGAAATAACAAAAATATTTATAACATTTATAAATTATTCAACTGCATAATACGCGTCGAACCACCGAGAAAGTCCAACAACATTATACAATGCACTCGCTGTCAACTCTTTAATCACACCAAAAAATACTGCAATAGACCATTTGCTTGCCTAAAATGCGGTGACAATCATAATACTAAAGCTTGTACCAAAGATCCGAATGCTCCGGCATGTTGTTATTTTTGCGACGGTGCTCATCCAGCTAATTATCGCGGTTGCTCATACTTCCAAAAAATTAAAGAACAAAGAAACAAAACTCCAGTAAATCAATCAGTCATAAATCCAAATCCAAATAACCAAAATTTTAATAATTCTAATAATTCTAATTCTAATAATAAAATAAACAACATTTCTCCGGCCTTAAATCCAACAATTCAAAATTCATCCTATGCAGACATTGCAAAAAACAATTACTCTGCTTCTAATCATTCACCTTCAAATCCCGATTCTGATTCTCTAGCAACACTTATTTTAGAATTTAAAAATATCTTCAATCAGCTTTTGCAACAGAACACCATAATAATAAATATGTTATCCACGTTAGTCAACAACAAAAGCAATGGCAAAAATAATTAAAATTGCTGAATGGAATGCCAACGGTTTAATACCTCACAAAAATGAAGTAGAATGTTTTTTAAAGTTAAACTTAATAGATATCTTATTAATCTCAGAAACTCACTTCACTGAAAAAAACTACTTTAAAATTTATAACTACACTACTTATAATTCAAATCACCCAAGTGGCAGGGCTCGCGGCGGTTCGGCTATATTAATCAAAAATAATATAAAGCATTTTGTTCTACCAAATATTTCTGATGATTTTCTACAAGCAACTCAAATTTCTGTTGAAACAAATTTATATAATTTTTGTGTTTCTGCTGTTTATTGTCCACCAAGATTCAAAATTTCTTGTGCTCAGTTTTCTTCATTTTTCTCTCAATTAGGTAATAAATTTATCATTGGTGGTGACTTTAATTGTAAACATATTGCCTGGGGTTCTAGACTGACTACAGCCAAAGGAAAGATTCTTCATGCAGCCATAGGGCAAAATAACCTCTCCTTTATTTCAACTTGCAGTCCAACTTATTGGCCTTCTGACCCTACTAAAGTTCCAGACCTTTTAGATTTTTTTATTGTGAAAGGTATTGATCTTTCAAATCTCAATGTTGAATCTAGTTACGATCTCTCTTCAGATCATTCTCCAATACTTGTGACGTTTAGCACATTTCCTACTCCAGTTATCAACAATCATATTCTACACAACAATCTTTCTAACTGGATTCAATTCAAATCCATACTTGATTCAAAATTATTTCCAAAATCTAGGCCTACAAGCGTTATTGATATAGAAAATAATATAGATTATTTTTCTGAGATTGTACGTGAAACAACCAAGCAGATCACCCCGAACATTATTCCAAGAAATGATAATCTAATAATTCCGCAAGAGATTAAGAAGCTAATTGCACAGAAACGAAGAGCAAGACGTACCTGGCAACATTCTCATCTACCAACGGATAAGACATCGCTCAATCATCTCAATAACACGTTGAGGAAAAAAATGAAAGAATGGAAGAATTGTACATTCAGGTCGTATATATTGCAGCTAAATAGATACGATAATTCCATATGGAAACCAATCAGAAACAAAAGTAAACCCCTACAACAAAACCCTCCTCTGAAAATAACCAACCAAAACGGATTCATTTGGGCAAAAAGCAACGAAGAAAAAGCGGAGGCATTTGCTGATCATCTAAGTAGCATTTTTAGCGCTCGAAATATTTCCCAGAATAATTTAATTAACAATTTCGTAAATCAACCCATACATTCTACACCGTTGGGACATTTTTCACCAAATGACGTCTTATGTGAAATAAAAAGGATAAAAAATAGATCTTCGCCGGGTATGGATAAAATTACTCCAAAGATGTTAAAAGAATTGCCTACGAAAGGTATTTTATATATAACAAATATTTTCAACGCCATACTTCAATACAATTATTGGCCCACAGCGTGGAAGACTGCAGAAATTATTATGATCGCTAAACCAAACAAAAACCATCACACTGCTAGTTCATACCGTCCTATCAGTCTTTTATCGATATTATCGAAAATTTTAGAGAGGCTTTTTTTGCAGAGATTGTCAGAAGATCATCCGAATGATAGTTGGATTCCTCACCATCAGTTTGGCTTCAGAAAAAATCACTCTACAATTCAACAATGCAACAGAACGGTGTCTCGTATTCTTGAAGCCATGAATAGAAAGGAACACAGCGTAGCCGTATTCTTAGATGTTAGTCAGGCTTTTGATAAGGTTTGGCACTCAGGACTCCTATATAAAATCAAAACAACTTTTCCAAACTACTTCAATATCTTAAGCTCATATTTGCTTAATAGAAAATTTAGAATCAAAATTAAAGATGTGACTTCGAGCATCAGAAATATAGAATGCGGGGTACCACAGGGCAGTGTGCTAAGCCCTGTACTTTATCTTCTTTTCACAAACGATATGCCCACAGATGATCTTCTAACCATATGCACTTACGCCGATGACATAGCAATTATTTCATGCAATTCCGATATTAGAACAGCAACTTGTCAGTTACAAAATTATTTATCTAGTCTCGAAAAATGGTTTTCAGATTGGAATATCAAAATCAATATCGAAAAATCTCAGCACATAATTGTTTCTCTAAAACATCACAACAGTCCACCTATCATCATGAACAATTCAATAATTCCACTATGCAATTCTGTTAAATATTTAGGCATGCACATTGATTCGAAATTGACATGGAGAACGCACATTGAATATAAAAAGAAACAAATCCAACTGAAAATGAAAGATTTTTACTGGCTTTTTGGGAGGAAATCTGAAATCTCTCTCGATAACAAGGTACTTTTGTATAAAACTATCATAGTGCCCATTTGGACTTATGGAATCGAACTATGGGGTTGCTCATGCAAATCTAACATAAACATCATTCAAAGGTGCCAGAATAAAATTCTGCGTATCCTTACTAATGCGCCTTGGTATATTTCGAATTTTTGCCTACATAAGGATTTGAAAATCTCAACTGTCAACGAAATGATCAAGATTAGAAGTTCATCTTTCAACAACAAATTAATCCAGCATACAAATCCTACAATTCAAGCGATTCAGAGACCGATAAGAAGATTGAGCAAGAAATGGCTTTCCGATCTACCAAACACCTAGCCCAATGTCTGCACGCGCCCTGACGTAGTACGCGGCATACATCATCACGTCATCGTTCATTTATGTTATTATTTTTGTATTACTGTTTTAATTTAATTTTTATTTTAACTTTTTTCATTTTATATTCAATGTATTGCATTTTTTGTTTTTTTTTGTATTTTTTTTTGCTCATATCAATTTTGTAAATAAGACATTAAAGTCTTGATTAACAAAAATAAATTGTAACAAAAAAAAAAATCTAATCTATAAGGTTTTAATGAAGTTTTGGTTTCCAAAATAATTTGGTAAGCTAATCAATTAAATCTAAATCATAAGTCTATTTATATAATTATTTTCATAAATATTGACAGATGACATTTAATTTTTTTTTTCATGTCAACATTTATTTAAATTTTTAAGCATTGATTTTTAATTAGATTTAAAACTATAATCAGTGATTTTGTAGGTAGCATTTCATCAAATTTGGATATAAATGTTGGATATTTCTATATATGTACATGTTTTTGAATTTTATTTTTTGAAATGTCAATTTTTTTTTTTTATTAAATTTCCTTTAATTTTGACATTTGTCATTTTAGTGTTTTGTTTTTTTTTTGGTCATTTTCTGTCAAAATTTTTAGAAATTTATAAAAATTATATATTTATATTTCAAATTTACTTTTCAAAATTTCCTATAACCTAAGTTGGATATATATGCACACGATGAGCCCGATTTAAAATCGGTCCAGTAGTTTGGGCGTCCATCGCGAACCAACATCGTGACACGAGATTTATATATATATATATATATATATATATATATATAATTTATATGTATTTCTAAATTTCCATCATAAATTATATAAGATATCTCTTTATCTTTATGATGAACAAATTTTCTGCATTTAATGATTCAATAAATCAATGCTGAAGGTAATTCTTGTCGCACGAAATTTAACTAATAGTGTACATATTGCAATGTGACTAAAGAAAATGTATATAAAATTTTGTAATAAATCAAAAAAGAGATAATAGAATCCAACATCGTAATTAATTTAAAAAGAGGTTTAGAAATATTAACTCCATTTGACAATGATAAACACACATTATATTGAATGTTTTTCTTTAAAAATTAATTTTGTTTATTCGATATGAAATTATCAAGTTTTAATTTTTAGCATAGATAAGAAGCATTTGAATAACTATCATAAATTAAATAAAAAAATAACAAATAGATTACCAATTGTATTACTCGATATATAGCGAACTTACTAAATCGAATCGGCGTTAAAAATCATCGATCAATAGATCATATTATTTTATACAATTTTTTATTTATTTTTTTTATTTTTTATATTTAATTAATAATATAATTTACGAATATAACTAAAGACCCTCACATTATAAAATGGATTAGTGATATTCATATCTATTGAAGTACACATGTATAATAAATGCACCATTATAAATAAATAATAATTATATTAATTGTATACAAGTTAAAATTAGTTAATCTTTATTATTTGTACTGGTCTATTAACTCCCTCCAAAAATGCATTGCCTCTTTCTTAGGATTTTCAAGCAGTTTTAATTCTTTGTCTATCTCAAGGTAATATAAATTTTTATTCGTTACTGGTTTCCAAATTACTGACAATGAATTATCAGGCGTAGGATTTCTGCAAAATATATAAATATGTTATAAATTAATTGAAAAATTATAAATAATAAAATAAAAAGTAAAAATGTGATCTATACTGACCCAGTTTTAGCAAAGTTGACATATAATTTTAGTAGAGATTTTCTAGTTTTCTCAATTGATTCCTCTTCTCGAGGCAACTCAACTAGTTTATGTTTGAACAAATATCCCAAATCTTCTCCATGAGTAGCTCCTGCATATTCCATATCATGATTAACCAGTTTTGTAATACTGAATTCGTCAAATTTGAACTCATAATAGTACACTGGTTGTTTGGATTTTTTGGAAATTTCTCGAACCATGGTATCGACACCTCGGTTGAACCAAAGATCACTTTTGATACTCACAAAATCATCGATATTGGTTTCATCTATTTGGCGATTGGAGTAATAAAATTCTTTAATTTTTGCAGCTACTTCAAGGTGTTTATCAAAATCAGGTTTGGAGCTTAACTCCCTAGGAATATATCTGGTAAAATCTATATCTTTCAAACCGAACAAGACAGGCTCATCCGAAGCATCCCTGAAGACAAATAGTCCTTCTTTACTGGTATATCCAGTCATTAAAGGAACATTTTGAAATTTTCCATTAGCCATTCTGTCTAATGCAGGTTCATCTAAAAGTGATTCTTGTTGGGAAAACTTCTGTTCAACTGATGGTAGAAAAATGATATCTCTGAAAGCAAAACTGTCTTCTTGTGTCACAGTGGTGTTTGGATGTTTTCCAATGGTATTATATAATTTATCTTCGGGTACAAGTCGAAGAAATTCCAATGCGGTTTTGTTATTCTCGGGATTGAATCCTAATGCTCTGCAAAGTTTTAAAGCATTCTGAAAATAGAAGTAAAAATTACTAAACTAAAGATGCAGATCTAGAGTAAATGCTAATTTTCAATAAATATAATAGGCTAATACTAAATTCATATAATGCGTAATTTGGGTAAATAATGTGCTTATGGATGAATGTTTTTTTTGTCTTCAGTTTCTGATTTCGTGATTAATTTATATTTTATTTTTGTTGAATGTTTTACCTCTTCTGGATTAAGTTGATGAGCCCAAGGATTTAGAGCTGATCCACTCATTGCTATAGCTTTATGGAACAATCCTTTAGTTGAATCGGATAACATCAAATAATTTACACTTGCTCCACCTGCTGATTGTCCAAATATTGTTACATTACTTGGATCACCTCCAAATTGGCTGATGTTCTGTTGAATCCATTTCAGAGCTGCCACCTAATTTAAATAAATATTTATATATTTTGAACTATTGAAAGAATTTCATAGGAAACAAGTTTCAAGATAAATATTGGTTATCAGTCATTGTAGATTTTTAAGATTTATGCATAGGCAACACTATGTTGATGTTTGAGTGAAGCAAAATCAAATCTTTATCCTATAACAAGAGCTGGAGAAGTAACTAGAAAAGCATTGTACACCATCAACAGTCTTCTATCAATGCTTTCGATCTATTTAAAAAACTAAAGAGTATATTTTCTTTCAAAACTTATTTAAAACTCTGAATGTATTATTAAAAATATAGCATTTCGTTCTCACTTGATCTTTCAAGCCAGCATTTCCTGGAGCTTCTGGTAAATTCAAATTCAGGAAGCCCATAACTCCGCAACGGTAATTAATTGTAACCAAAATAACATTTTGATCAACAAACCAATCAGGACCGTAAATCACAGTATTTCCAGAACCAGCTTGAAAGCCTCCTCCATGAATCCACATCATTACTGGCAACTTTTCGTCAGCATCGAGTTGGTTATTAGGAAGTTTTGGAGTGTAAACATTCAAGAAGAGGCAATCTTCACTGCCTAGAGAATATTATAGTTGACTTCAAATTTTATTATGACAATCTTGCATTCTTGATACCACGATAAAATGCTAACTCTACTATAGCTATAAGTCAAATTTTTTACATAATCCTAGAAACCATTCGTAGAATCTTAACATTAACATTGATGATAAATTAATCTCATTATCAGTTTATAGAGGTATGATTTTAATTTAATTTAAATATATTTATTGACTTCTAACTAGCCACTTACAGTCTAATATAAATCATTTTTACTCAAAATTATATATAAATATATTCTTATATAATTGAGTACACCTAAACTTTTCTACACATAAATTTCATTGGTTCTCTAAAAAATCATATTTGTAGATTAGTTTGCGAATTTTAATTGAAGAATTATGGTAAAATCTATATTTGTACATTAAATAATAAAGAAAGGTTAATTTAAAAATACTTCAACCACCACATTTTCTACAATTGCTTAGTACAAATTTTGAATCGAAATGGACAAGTTTTCTAGTCATTTGTTTTACAAATTGATTTATTTCTCTTCGGATTATTTAGAAACTTTTTAATTATTCTAAGATATTAATTTTTTGTTAATTTATAATAATTATCATGAATTTAAAATAAATTATATTACCTGTTAGTTCTCTTGTTAGCAAGTGAAACTGTTTGCACACATTTCCTTCTTCTTTTGCTTCAAATACTCCTTCCCATGGTGTTGGTGGTAATGGATTCTTAGAAAATTAAAATAAATGGTAATAATTCTAAAAAACAATCAAATGAGATCTATGAAAAACAGTGAAAATGACTGCTCTCGGAAATCTATTGTTAATTCATGAAAAAATATTTTTTGCTCATAAACATTTGATGTAAGGTTTTTTAATTCGATGGATTCACCTAACACAAATTTAATGATTTGCTTGAAGTCAAAATGAGTTTGTTTTGAAAAGTGAAAAGAAATATTTTAGTTGCTATAAAAATAGTCATTAAAATTTTATTCAGTAATTTCACATTCAGTTACTACTGAATTCAATTATTTTATACAGTAAAATTAATTTTATAATCCATACTATTTTTATGTGATGTTTTATAAGAATACCAACTTGAAATCTTAAGTTCCCAACAGGCGGTGTGGCATATGGAATTCCTTGAAAGGAATAAAAGGTTGTTCCATCTTCTGTCACTGAAGAATATCCTTCCAGCACTCCTTGACATATTTGAACACGAGGATTTGCTACGTCCACAGAGAGAAAAATAACCAATTTATTTATTTATTACGACGTTAAATAAAATTCATCATTAAAATTTTATTTCATTCAACGCTATTATTAACCCTTTTAGTAACCACCTTAGCCCAGCATCGAAGCATAAACAAGAAGTGTAGCAGACCCCAGTGATTTAAAAAAAATGAAAATAAAATTTGAACTATCTACAATGCTAAAAAATTAAAGGCCTAAAATATGCGCAAAAACGAGCGACCTTGTGAAAATGGTGACGTTTTGGGTTTCAGCAGACCTCAGATGTACGAGAAGTGTTAATTAAATAAAAATTACAATTTTAAAATTATTGATATATTATAAAGTCAAATAAATATAAAAATATATTATTTTAAATTTATTTACAAATTTATGTTTTTTTGGTGTACTATTTCATTCTGAATTATTCATCAATTATTATGTGTTCGCATATTTTCGATAAAAGATAGAAATGATCGATCTGTAGTTCCATTTGAATCAACATTTAAATTTTGAAAATTCATTTTCTGAGAAAATTTTGAATAATCACTTTGATTTAACATTTATAATCGTTTTGAATAGTAAAGATTGGGCTAGTCATATCTTCACGAATAATAGTTAATAACAGTTTTCGATACATTTTTGAAATTTTAAGAGTTACTCGTACTATCTGATTTATTATCGATTTCAAAAATTATTAACCGTTTCTTTCAAATTAAATGTTGATTTCTGTCCGAATCATGAAATTTAATCCTAAATTAGGAGAAAAACTCGATCACAATTCCTTGTAATGAAATCAATTAATTTTATGTATCAGTAGATAGATATAATCATCCAATTTGACTAAATTCAAAATATCACTTACTCATTTTGTTCTATTTTGTAACGTTATTCAATTACATATATTCACGTTTTTTAACTTTCGAAACCTGACTTAAATAAATAATTTTTATATTATCACTTTGAATGAATCTTGTACTACAATTAACTAAATACTATAAAAAATCACTCTGAAAATTATCAGGTAATTATTACATATGCATGCTTTTTCATACTGATTCCAAGAAACAATTATACTTTTAACGGTAAAGCTTCACTAATATAATAAAATAATTAAATTTTAATGGAAGTCACGCACCTACCAATGTTTAAACTAGAAAAACACAGATATGTTCTCATAACGTCCTAATTATTCTAAAAACCAAATAAAATAATCTCTTAAATTACACAGAAACAATTGTTTCTTGACTAAGACTGATAACACAGTTTTGAAAACAAGAGATTTAGTTGTAGATTAATAATGCCCAATAAATGATATGTTTTGTACTTGTAAATGATCTTGTAGATTTAAATTTTTGATAGTAACAAACAATTTATACGATGTGATAATGGCAATCGAATGATCTGAATTAAATGAATTTTTTATTAACTTTAAATAATTATACTTCAGCATTATTTACAATTTGTTGCCCCAGTTGAATATAAAAATATTTGTCCTTTTCACAGGCAAATATTTAAAACCAAAATAATTCTTAGAAGATCAAAAAAATATTAAAATATCATTTTGAATAAATTAAGTGCTACTGTTTTTATCTCAAAGGATGATAAGAAATTGAGTTATGTCTGTGTTTAAATTATGTGTAAATAGTGATTTTAATATAATAATCTCTTATGTTTGCTATACGTCAAAAATGCAGCATTGAAATAATTTTTATCGCAGAAAATTACTTTTCTGAGATTACAAAAAAATGGTCAGTTTTACTGTTAATTTATCTGAATCTGTTCATTCATTACAATCTCAATGTTGAGAAAATTTGACGAAAGTTGGAATAGAATACAGAAAATAAGAAACATTTGGAGATGCGTCCACAAATAAATTAATTTACTATTTGAAAATTATTATTATGTTCATTTTTCCTAATAATCTGATGATATTTTATGGTGTCTTCTCGTTTTATCTTTCATACAATGTATTTTTTTAATCAATAGATAAATATGTGGCAAAAACCAAATTTTCAATTTAGAATATATTCAGACATTTGTAATTTTATTCATTTTGAATTTTTTTATTAGTAATATATGTAATGCCATTTTAAAATTTGATTGAGCTTCTGGAGAGCTTTTTTAGAAGCCTGATTTTAAAGTTTTTACGTATATTATGAATTTTTCTGTTCTAATTGATTTGATGAATTAATTAATTTAATGTCATCAATATTAGTTATTTGAACAAAGGTTTTGCATATCCGATTTATTTTTCCTAGGTAATATTTTTTAAAAGTGTTGATTGGAATTAATTTATTTAATGATATAAACTAACATACTTAATTCTTTTCAATTAAAAGAATATGTTTATAATAATAATTATACTGCAATTATTATTCCCTATGGTTCATACCTTTACTCTTATTTTTTAAAAAATTAAATAATAATATCAGTTTGAATTTTTTTAAGTTTATTTCATTGTTTGAGAATTCAAGTCATGTGGATGCTTATAAATAGTAATAAATTAATAACTACTCTTATATAACTATAATTATAAACTAATAATAATAATTATCATAATATTACGCATTTTAAATATTTACAATTATTAATTTGTGTTGAACTTTGGAAGACCTGGATGGTTTTCAATTTTGAATCATTTCTCAGACCTTAACCAGCTGCAGCTGATGATTCCAATCCGTTGGATGTTTTGCCTAAATATACTAAATTAGGCGCAAAAATTTGAATTTTATTTTAAATGGAATAATAATCGAATTCCATTTTAAAAAATGAATATTATGAGCACTTTTTTAAATTTCTTTTTCTGTATTACAATCTGTCTCATTTACAATCAAGTTCCTCCAGAATGTTAATGATTCAGCTTTTGGATTTGTTTTTAATTCCAGATCTTTGCCTATAGATAAATAATACGTGGTGTCTTTGCTGACAGGTTGCCAATCAATAGGCAATTCTTCTGTTTTGTGATATGTGGGATTCCTGAAAAAATAAAATTATTAATCCATAGATGTTCATATGATTTAAATTTAACTGTATATTATTAAAGTATTTTTCATCTCCAAGCTTCCAAAATGTAACTTTTTTACTACTTTAGCAAAAACTAATTACTATTAATTGTTAGGGTTATTAATTATTGGTTAAAATTTAGTTTAGGTGCATTATTTTTCAAAGTAAACATTGAAATTTTGTTATTTAACAGGTTTCTCCAAAAATTATAATGTTACACGCTAATTTATTAAAAACTGAGGAATTCAAATGGTGGATAAATTTTTGTTGTTGTTCTTATTAGAAATATAAAAAATGTTTAAATTCTTGTTGCTGAATGATGAATCATATATAATGTCAAAACAGATAATAGCTATTTTTTTTTAATTTTTCAATTTATATTTTAATTTGACTGTTTGGTTTTATATGTAAAATTTAATCGTTGGTTAATAGTATATCCCTGATTTTCTATATGAAACTATGTGCCTATCAAAATCGAATATAAGATATAATTTTACCTACCCTGTATTTATGAAATTAGAAATTATTTCCATGAATCTTTGGTGAGTTTTGTTCACATTTTCGTTAACATCCTTGGGAAGAACAATATTTTTATTCTTGAAGAAAAAGCTGCGATCATCTGCATGACATGCTCCTTTTATATTTGTATCTCCATAAAAGTCTCTCAATACTCCAAATTCATCAAATGCAAACTCATAATAGTAAATTGGTTGCGAAGAATGGTGTGCCAAAAGATTCACCATATTATCAATTCCCCTGATAATCCACGTGTCACCTTTAATTCTCATGAATGTGTCCACGTCGAAATCAGCGCAAACATCTTCTCCGCAATAAAAAAATTTTATCATCTCAGCCACATCATGAAATTTTTCTGTATTTTCTGTCAAGCAAAGTTCTTTTGGTACATACCAACCGAAATCTACGTCTTTGAGTCCATAAGTTACTGGATCTAATTTAGCGTCTTTGTATGCTAAAATTCCTTCACCATCAGCAAATCCAAAGAGCATTGGGACGTGCTGGAAGTTTCCTGATTTTATAATATCCTTAACGGCGGATGTAATTATTGATTTTTCACCAGCCAATTCTTTTTCTATACTCGGGACAAATGTAATGTTGCCAATCAAATGATTTTCATCAGCAACGACTGTTGACCAAGGTGGACTTCCTACTGCTTGAATGACATCATCAGCAGAAGCTGATTTGAGGAAGTCCAAAGCGTCGTTTTCAGAGGAGGCAATGTGGCCCAAAGCTTCAGAAAGTTTATATGCATTCTAAACAACATATGGAAATTAATAAATAATATGCACATACAATCTCAAAGCTTCAGGAAGATTATTGGCTAGAGTTCGAATTAATATTTTCTATAGAGTCCGCCAAATAACTTTTTTTTGAAAATTCTATAAAAAAACTACTGTTTTTTTTTTAATTTGAAATAATAGTTTTGGTTTTAAATGGTTGCCAAAAAAATCAAAATGGATGCTAAAGATTTAAAATGGCTGCAAAAGTTAGATGGCGGTCCCTTTAACTATGATTACGGCTGGTTTATGAATTTATTATATAAATATATAAATAAATTAGTCTTGGATTTACTAAGGTATAAACACGTTTTCTGGATTTTTTGTAGGTTCATTATCGATGGTGAAATTTTGGATTGTAACTATTCACTATTACGTTAAAATATCCTATTTCCTTTATTTTTCCAGAATATTTCTCTTATTTAATTAATAGACAATCAGAATACATAGTTTCTATAATTCTATGTGATAATGTTGTATATGGCGATTAGAGGTCTACTCTATTGATTCCAGAATATGAAATATTGTATTTGAAGTACAGTAATAAACCAAAGGTGTCCAAATCATTTTAACGTTTCCGAAATGATTGTTTATATTTTTTCATGCATAATTTGATCCGGTTCGAAGTTCAATAATATTTTTCTATAGTATTATAATTTGCTATTGTTTAGTATACTGAGAATGAAACTTTTATTTTTTTAAACACGCATAAACAAACACACACACACACACACACACATACACACATATATATATATATATATATATATATATATATATATTCTTAATATTTTGCCATTCATTGTTTGTCGATTTTGGTGCAATGATTGTAATAGATTTTTATTGTACATATTAAGAACTTGTAGGTTTCGAAAAATTTCAAACATTCAATTTAGTTGAATAATATACATCGGTTTTTGAAATTTATATACATAAATATTTGCATATATTTATTTTTTTAAAGATTTTATCTCCAATACATATCTCCTTTTTTTTATTTTTCGGCATTTTAGTTAATATCGTATGGCCATTTTTTTCAATCAATAAGGAGATTTTTCAATCAATTAGTTTAAATATTTGTTTAGTAATTTTGAATTTATAAAATAAATCATTTTTTTACCTCTTTTGGATTATGGTCAACTGCCCACGGATTGAGAGCGCTTCCTCCTAATATAGCAGCCTTTTGGAATAAATCTTTCGTATTTTCCGATAAAACTAAATAATTTACACTTGCTGCACCTGCACTAGACCCAGCTAATGTTACATTTTTAGGATCTCCTCCAAAACCATCTATATTATCTTGGACCCATTGGAGAGCTGCAACCTAGAGACAAAGGGAGCAAGAAACTTAAGCAACGATCAACTACATAACTTTATTATCTATAAAAAATATCACCAATAGGACAACTTAAATTTTAATTGAATTTAAGACTTCTCAATTTATCTATAGTCTCCAGTAAAATAGACGCCATGTTACCCTCTTTTTTTGTGAAATGCTTTTTGCCATAACAAGGCTAAGTTACAGTCCATTTTAATAGAAAATTGGCACCATAATCTATTGATAAGTTGATAATTATATCTCTAATTTATTTCCATTGCATTTTGTTTTGCTTATTATTGAACGTTTCTTTCTCGTTGTTAAATATAAAATATCTTGCATGCTTCTGCCATTTCTGAATAACAATTTTTTATTTTTCATATTATTGCATATATTATATTAATTCCTATGTTATTATTGGGTGCTTTTATTATAAAATTAAAATATTAGTAAAACTATAACATAATAATAAAAATATTGATCACTCTTTTAGATCAGATATATAACACGACTACTTACATTCATTAACTACTATTTTATTTTTTGAATCGCATCTGAAAACAAAACTATATTGAGATATTTGCATGATGTTTAATTTTTACATCTTACATATTCGAAAGTATAAATAGCGTATTCATTAATCTGGTATTGGATTTATAATTTTAATGCACTTTCTTAGTATTACCATTTACCATGAAACTAAATAGGTTATATAACAATTATAATGTAATTGATAAAACCGCCAATTTGAAATAAATTGTTATGAATAGAATTATATACAACAGAAAATTCATAGTTTTGTTTGAATATATTAGAACTTTCAAAATCAGCTTTTACTATTTTTTTTTAAATAAATAGGACAATTTCCTTAAAAAATCGAATTTAACTTGAATTTTAAAAAATAATATAATTCGAAGGAAAGACATTTCTTATAAATATTAATTACTTTCAATTTTGAAATAAATTATTAATTAATTACTAACTTGATCTTTCAATCCCATATTTCCAGGGGCATCTTCAATTCCCAAGTTGAGAAACCCAAAAGGCCCCAGTCGATAATTTAGGGTCACCACAACCATATTACGAGCAACCAACCAGTCAGGGCCAAAAGTATCTGAATTTCCAGAACCGCTTAAAAATCCTCCTCCATGAAGCCACACCATCACTGGTAAGTCAGCCTGAGTTTTCTTGTAAGTTTTAGGCGTGTATACGTTTAAATATAGACAGTCTTCATCGCCTGAAATAAAACTTAATTTTTAGTTTTTACATGTGCTACATTTAATTAATAATTAATCATTTTCTTCACCTGCAATTTTTTTTTCGCCGGTAGACAGGTCATATTGCTTGCAAATGTTGCCCTCGGTAAAGGCCTTACGCACACCGAACCATGATTCCGGTTCTTGAGGTGCCTATAAATATTATTATTATTATTAGAAAAGTGTATGAATTTTATACACAATTTTATTTGTCGAGCCCAGTGGTGGCAAAATTATTTCGACGTGGGCTAGTTTGCTGGCCCGATATTAGGCAGCTTTGATGTTAAATTTCTACTTGATGTTTTAGATGTCAAATCTCAAGTGAAAATCGACTCTGCACATAATCATAAAAATGGGAACAAATACTTCGAGTGTAGTTAATTAATCACAACCGGATTGGACAATTTTACCTTTAATTTACTCTGAAGTGTATTAGGAATATCCATTTGAACAATACTTTCCACATTTAATGACGAGTGTTATTTTAATAATTTACATTAATTAAAAACAATTATCATAATAAATACTTGCATAACACTAGTTAATTAAATTCATACTGCAATTTTAGAGTCATTAAAATTTATTATATAAACGTAATGATCAATGTTAAATAACGTGTGTGTTACGTGAATGAGAAAAAAATTATTTATTTGCTGGTCAAATGTTTGAAATACTTATTGGACATTTAATATATACTGAAATAATTTGTATATTTAATGAATCATACTTAATGAATCATACTTAATTTTACGAAAAAATTTAATCAAACCGAAAAAATTCTTTGATATAGCAATTATGTCTGACATCTCAAAAAATGTAGTAATACTATTTTAATTTATATAAATAAATGCAACATTTACTTTAAAAACAATTGTATGTACGTACTTCTTTATTTAAACAGTAATCAGAACCTAAGGGTTTAATGAGCTCTTGTGATTAACTACTTTCAAACTACGACGTTTTTTTTAAAGATGACAACCCAAACATTAGACCCATCTCTATGTGATGAATTTCAATACATATTACAATTTATGTGATACTGATAAATTTTTGAAGTAAAACTTCTTTAGGCGCGACTAGGTTGTAAATTCGTACAAATGCAACGGAAGTGCGTTACGGCAGATAAGATAAGATAAGAGTCGAGTGCCAATGATTCATCTTTCGATCGTCACGGGTCGTATGTAAATAGAGTCTGTCTTTGTATGCGTACCAATATCAACAAGGAAATCGGCATAGATAAATAAACATTTTAATGTTACATCGTAGTACAAATCTTGATTTAATGAAAAATGCCTGAATCAGAAGAATATTTTACCATGTCCCCCGTATAATTATAATGAAAATGATTAAACAAATGCAGCATTTGCGCCGTGTATGAAACATAAGTTTATTTAAATAATTTTTATCTTATTCGTAGTTTCTATAAATCTTTGAAGTTATTGAAATGGAAATTATTTTTTAGGCAGAACAGATGTAACAGCTGTTCAAAGAATGAGATTATATCGCCAGCGAAAATGTAAAAAAATACCATCAGTCAATGAATGTATGTTACTTTTAATTACATGAAGTTCTTTTAATTACATGAAACACAATTATTACATGATGAGTGAAGTTGCGAAAACAATATTTGTTTAGGCGTTGTTTGACATAATCCACTGTATGAACGAATATTATAGAATTTATTAATCAGCAATTACTTTATTTCTCTAATAAAGGCTCATTTCTAAATGCTAATTACAATGACAAACCCATCATGTCATATTTGAAGTATGACTTTAATTATACTTGGAAGCATATTGCTTTCTATTTTCAAGTAAAAACTGATATCACTACAGCTTGACATCATACTGCTCGAACTTCAAATCTGATCGCATAAATATAATTTAAACTATTGCACTTTCATCAAATACTTTCATAAATTTACCTTGAACCTCAAATGTCCTAACGGTGCTTTCGCATACGGTATCCCTTTGTAAGCATGGTAACATTGACCATCATCGGTGACGTACTCTTTGCCTCTCAGCATTCCTTGGGTCACTTTTACTAAAGGTTCACATAATACACATTGCAGAATTGCAAAAAATAACACAACTACATATAACTTGTTCATATTGAATACGTTTATCATCATCTCATTACAACTATTACTAATTAATTTATTGAAGTCCTAGACGGATCCGTATTGCTCGATGCATTTACTTCTATGGATTTACTTCGATTCAAACAGATGAGAATGTAAGCGAGGCTTATATATGATAATGTATGGCAGCCATGAATATTTATACGATGGCACGAGCATAGTTCAACGCGATTTGATCATTTGACCAATGCAATAATAATAGTTCCAATTATATACATGAATAAGGAATTATTTCGGTACATATTAGTGATAGTTAATAACCTAAATGCATTAATAATTTAAGTGAAACATAGGGTACGCGGAGCATGGTTCGTGCAAATGTCGATTTATGTAATATCGGAACACAATATATGATTTGGAAATTTTCAATCAGCCAATGGTTTTAGTTCAGCCAAGATAAAAATAAGTTAAATTTTCATTATAATTTTTTATATATCTATTTGTTTGTGTGTGTTTATGCCCTATAAATTTAAAAACCATAATCCAATTCCCGTTAAAGTTTGGAAATCTTTTAGGTATATCTCCGGACAGGTTTTTGTACAATTTTGATTGAAACCACGATTGAAACCACGTGATGTTGACTATTCCAATTTTATTTTTAATTGTTTTGGTCATTTTTTCGTGTATAAAAGCACATAACCCTAAGTTTTCACTCTCGTACCACAAACTCTTATTTCGTATGAATTATTACAGTAATTACATCGTTTTTCATCTCAATTTCTGCCAGTGAAAGTTTGTGACTGAATTTGAGATTTTTTGAGCCTATAGAAAGCTCAATTTTACAAAAAAAAAAAAATAATTTCAGCAAGAGTTTTCCAACTTTAACTTATTCTTTACTGCATTGAATCAATTTTCTTTTTTTTTTTGAGTGCATTTTGAAAAATGCATGGATGCAACCCTCAATTTTCACCTTCCTGCCACACTTTCCAATTTCATTAAACTTTGTGTTTATATTCTTTATTATTTCTAGAGTAGCATTTTAACTTGTTTCATAAATGGCAAAAATTTAGAACTTAGTTCATGATGTTTTTTATAAGTATTTTAAACTATTATATTACTGAATATCAAGGAACAAGTAAATCAAGAAAATTACATTTAACAAATTTACTAATAGTTTCATCTCTTTATTAAAAGTAGTCATTTGATTTGATAATTAATTTATATATTTTATAATTATATCCCCCGGCATTTTATATTTTCATCTAATTTAATAGATCACTAAATTAAATATGCCAATATTAAAAAAGCTCCCATTCAATGGAGAAAATAATTTCATGTAATAGTGTTCACAAATTATGTGATATAAGAACATGTTTATCGAAAACTTTTATATATTATTTACGAATTTATATCATATGAATTTTTAACTTAATTTATGAATTATCAAAATTCGAAATATTGATTGTTAAAATATTCAAGAAATTTAAAAATTGTAATTATAACAACGTAATTATAGCAATTCATTTAAAACTTAATTATGTGAAAGTGAATACATTCTGTTTAGAGAGACTTTAGATGATATTTATTTAAATGATATTAATTAGTTTGGTTTGCTTTAAAAATATAAAATATTCAGTTTTTTAAATATTTTTGATGTGCTAATAATATGCTAAATGTAACGCATCCCATCGAATATAAATATCATCAATTGTACTATAAATAATTTATGAATATATATTTACATATTTGTATTTCTGTATAGAAAACATTTAAATTTGGTTTCAGTTTTTGAATTGAAATAATATAATTAACTATTAAATAAAATTCTTGTCTAGCCTCCTGTTTGTTTAGAAAAATTATTATGCATATCGTTATTATTTGTTTAAAAAAAATAATTTATTTTCTCATTTGACAAATATCATTTTAAACAAAGATACTTGAAAACGAAGATATGCTAAATTGTTATCCTAGTTTTGAGAACTTGAATTTCGTTATAAACATTTAAATTTTAATGATATATTAAAAAGTGGCATACAAAGTAATCACAAAGTATTCCAAAATACAAAAAGGTAATGAAGTGAAATAAAAAATATATTTGACAAAGTATAATGCAGTTTTTTGCATATGATGGGACAATGCAATCTATTGTATGTGTGGTTTAATTTATTTATTATTGCAAGTGGAACGGTATTTTCTGTTCGTTTATATTTAGAATATAAATATTAATGTAATTGTAAAGCAACGCACTTCTAAAATATAAAAGTTTACTATTGAATAATTGTTTTCATAGAGCTGTCTGGACTAATTAAAATTTTTCCATTAGAAGAAAATAGTAGTAGTATAGTAGTTGACTATAATGTCTACTAATATTGCCGCTGGAATTTATATCAATAATTATCTCATAATTATTAAAATATGATTGATTTTTCTTAAATTTATATTTAACTAGAAATTTTTCCTATTCGACTGAATCCTAATTTTATTGTTTCTTGACGGATCAACTCATTCTGAATCATTTGACATCACAATTATAAATAGTGAGTAAGTAAGTGTTCCATATTTAACCTATCGTCGACGTCCTTTCATAAATGGCTGCACCGATTTTAAAAATTTCAAAGCAATTCGATAAAACTAGATAAAAACTCGCATTTATTAGTTTTGTGCTATAATCATTCAGCAGCTTCTTAATAATTACCAGATAAATGATATTAGTAGAAAACGTTGCTGATTAGCTTTTAGTGAAGATCGGCCTGCCATTTACTTTGTAATTAATTGTTCAAACATTTTTTTTGTTGGGTTTGATAAAACTTTGTAAGATCGTGGTCGTAATGAATATCCTAAAATATTATAGTCCTTCCAATAACGGGTTAATTATAAAATATCATTCAATTTTGGAATAAGAATTAAATATTATTTTTTACGCATACGGGGAAGTTCATGCAACTTGCCTTAATGCAAAATGCCGATGACTCTTAATTTGAAATTGATTTGGTAACTAATTATAAAATTACAAATGAATACCACATAAAAAATAATTTTAATGTAATCAACATGCTGTAAAGTACATTGCAATTAAAATCTTGTAAATGAAACTTGTATAAAATTAAAACTGCCTCTAAACATGAATATCGTCATATTAACTCCTAATTCGATATTATCTCCATATTTATGTTAATATGATACATAATTATGGCTTATCTTTCAAAGGGTTCTATATATAAAAGCATTTAAAGAAAATCCTCATAAATTTAAATGAAATTGTGATTATTATCTTTATGGCGTGGTAATGGGGTAATTATATTCTAAAAGCAGTGATGTGCAAATACAGATATCACTGTAAAAGGGTTTATCTAATATTCTATAATAATAGTCCGATTATTCATCATTTTGGTGGCATAAAAATATTCTAAGTATATAGACATATTGAATAAATTTCTAATTTATAAAACAAAAATGTACAAAAACTTTATTACATCAACTATTAGTCATAATTGTTCGAAACAGAATCAAAAAATATTCTTTTTTGATGATTGGTAATTAAGTGTTTTTATCAATGCATATTCATCAGCCTTTGCTAATTCTTCATTTATATGTTCTGGGTATTTTACGGAATTATTTTTATTTATTTTACTTTTAGTCACTGGAATCCCCAAAGTATTTTGATGCTTGATTTTAAAAATTCATGAGAAGAATTCATTTCTTAAGTTCAAAGAACTTTTGGATGATTTGCAATAATTAGAATACAGTCAAGAGTTGGTGAATCTTTTGTATAATGTTACACCTCATGATTGACGTCTGTCTACTTTTAAGTTTTGAACAAATATTAACACATGCAGAAAATTCAAAGAGATAAATAAATATCACTTTTAAAGTTCATCATCTGATATGCACAAACTATACACAAATATAAATCATTCTAATGATCAGGCGTAACATCAATGAAGATATGAAATTTTTAATGTTTATCTTTTTACAACGATATTTTTTGGCTAATATTCTAGCCTTCAATAACTGAAAATTAAATACGCTATCCTAAATATAAATAAAATGAAGATTGATAATTAGGTTTAAAAATAAGGTGCATACTATATTTTTTTCTCGCTGCAGTCACATACATTATTTTATTGTACATACTATTTTATTTAATATTCTACATCATATTAATTTTCATATAGAATAAGGCGGGGTACAAAGGTCCACTTTGACTTTGAAGGTCCACTTTCACTTCATAATTATATTATGAAAACCAAACCAATTACATCACAATAAATATCACATATCAAAGAAACAGCTATCTGACAATGCTCAGTAAAACTCCCAACTAATTCATCATTGTAGAAATGCATTATTTTGCTGTTTTTCAAAAGTTTATAACCTGGTCTTTTTTACCCCATAAGCAAGGTAAAATGGGACGGCTATCTGCCAAACAGATCCAATATCTTATTTTCAATTTCAAAGAGATTTTACTAAATAATTATTTAATTGTTCATACGTCATATATAACCTCACATAAAGCTTACATCTGGGCGGGGTAAAAAGAGTCAATTAACATTTACTTTGGCAAAGGTGTAAAAAAAGAAAATAAGTAAAATAAGTTGGATAAAGCAATTTTACAATATATAAATTGAATAAATATTTATCCACTTCTGCCGATAAATGTTTCTGACGAATTACCAGATCAAGGTTAGATACAGTATTATGTACTGATAAAACTTATATTTTGCATTAGTGGAATTATGTAGCTATTATAATAGCTACATAATTCCACTAATGCAAAATATAAGTTTTATCAGTACATAATACTGTATCTAACCTTGATCTGGTAATTCGTCAGAAACATTTATCGGCAGAAGTGGATAAATATTTATTCAATTTATATATTGTAAAATTGCTTTATCCAACTTATTTTACTTATTTTCTTTTTTTACACCTTTGCCAAAGTAAATGTTAATTGACTCTTTTTACCCCGCCCAGATGTAAGCTTTATGTGAGGTTATATATGACGTATGAACAATTAAATGACGTATATTTTAAAATAATATTAAGGTTTCGGAAACTAAACAACAGTGCTCACAACCAAAAAACCTAACGACGAAAGAAAATACACATTTCTATTGTTTATCTTCGGATAGCATCGTCGTAAGAATCAAGGTGTTGGCTGATTATACATATTTTTCCCTCTACTTGCAAATAGTGTTGTTAAAAATTGTTTAACTATACTGATTTTTGACCTTTAAGACACGCTCTACCCTATTTCTTTATTTACTATAGGTTTTTTATGCACTTTTGTTCAATATTCTCACTACTGCTAGATATCAGGTTGCCTGTAACATATTATTTGCTACTAAATAACTCTGCAACGATTTGTATTATAAAATTAAAATTGATATTATATTTTTATATTATTATGTACACAATAATTCAACACAATTTCTATACAATTATTTTATACTAAATAAAACAGAAATGAAGTCAATACTCAATATCATTGCACATGCTAAAGACATCATATGGTAAAATATAATTTCTATTTTATTTATATTCTATTCTTTGACACGGTACCTTAATTTCTTAATGATTTTCTTTTTTGATATCAAAGGGTATACAATTTATTTAAAGATATTTAAGAAGATTAATAAATAAAAGCCTCTTAAGTTGTTTTAATTCGAAATACAATTTCATCACTTTTCAATGAACATAAAGAATGGTGTAATATGATGAAAGAAACAAGGTTTTTTGTAATCCGAAAGGGTTGCATTGTCGTGGTATAATTAAAATTTTATGAAATTATTTTGATCATAACCTTGGAAATAATAAGATCATCGCTTAAGAAATAAATCTCCTCTTGTATTTTCTGTTTGTTTCTAAACTGATGTATGCATAAAAACACACCCACACACACACACACCCACACACACACACACACATGTATATATATAATTGATATTTCCTGGATTTTTTAATAAATTGATAGGGGTTTCTTTTCCGAACAATTAATCCAATAATAAGTTTTTTTTCTAGATGTTTAATTACGACTTTTCGGAACTAGGTACGTTCCATCATCAGGTTCTCCTGTCAAAAACTCATTGTTTCAAATATAGAATAACAATATTAATGATGATGATTACAGAATAATACAAAATGTTTATAAAGGATAATTCATTATGGACTTTTTCTCAAAAAATGAAGCATGAAAAAAGAAACATAAACAAATAAATTGAGAAGCAAAAGTTATTTACCTGCAATATTGATTTATATATGAATATCACTATTTTTTATGTGTAGGAAGCACTAATGAAAAAGTTATTCAACTTAAAATATTATTTTAAGTTGAGTAACTTTTGTTTGAAATATGTGTTTTTGTCACAGGACCAGATGTGGGATCCATCGGCCGGGCAGTAATATTATTTTATGGTTTGCACATTCGTGAATTACAAAAAAGGATATATTTTTTGTAAAAAAAAATTTTTGTATATGTAAAAGTGTAAAGATTTTGTTGCATTGGACAATACAAAATATCTCCTTTCTCGTAATTCACGAATGTGCAAACCATAAAATAATATTACCGCCCGGCCGATGGATCTCACATCTGGTCCTGTGAAAACATTCATTACAGATTTTGTTACTGATAAAACATATTATCAAACAAAAATTACTTAACTTAAAATAATATTTAAGTTGAGTAACTTTTTCATTTTTGCTTCATAAATATAAAAAATAGTGATTTGGATATATAAAAAAATATGGCAGGTAAATAATTTTTGCTTCTAAATTTATTTGTTTATGTTTTCTTTTTTCATGCTTTATTTTTTCAGAAGAAGTGTATAATCCATCACTTTATAACACGAATCCGTGCGCTTAACCATCACACCAGAGAAAATTAATATAATCATAGTAATTAGTTAGTAATTATTACTAATAAGTTTTATACTGAATAACAATTAATTGATGATTTATTGATTTATTATAAACCAACATTTATAATAATAACTGTCTTTATTGAATTCTTGTTTACTGTATTTAATTTGCAATGCAAATATTACATGCATTTAATTTACGCTTACATAACGGCAAAACCATTTTATATTTTTCATCACAGAAATACTAATTTGTAAAATATACTTTGAACAAATTCAGCTACATACTCGTACAATGGTGTCAAAATACTGTTCATAAAGTGCATAATTTATATTAGTTTGTTGATGATTATAATAAAATTGTATCGATATATCTTTCGAAAATTTATTTGAATTATTATTAAACTATTATGCAATAGTATGATCTGATCTGTATTGATA